GGTATAGTCTGATAGCCAGTCCTATAAGCTTTAATTTGATATAGGGGTTTAGATATCTACAGTTTAAACCGGACGCGCTACATCGTTTGCACGCGAGACACCCCTGAAGGTGCACGGTAACCTTAATTTTTTCTTCAGTTCCAGTAGGTTTATTAAGAGTTTTTCAACTTTGTTACATCAAATTTGCAATGAAAGAGGTTTCACTTAAACACAACATCTATCCAGGAAAGTATAGAACTGGTAGGTGTGAAAAAAAATAAAAATTACAGGCTGTTAGAACTCTTGCTTGTTTTGAAAATTCGTGAATTTTTAATGCATTATTTGCGGCAGGGAATTGGTGCGTGTGGTTAATTTTACAGCTCCCTGACGCAAGGACTACACACTGCGCTCGAGGTAAAAACGCAAAGTTAACTTTATTTAGTAAACGTAATTTTCTAATAAGGGGATTTCAAAAGAACAGTTCAAAGTACAAACTATCAGTTACTCCGATAGAAGCGATAACATGCTCTTCGACTTACTGTTGACAATATAACTTTGGTTTCGCGTATAATTCAGTACTACAACTGTAACAATTTATATCTCTTCACATTATATTTCTTTCCTTTACTAACACCACATGCAATATAAAAATAACTGTAAATTCAGTGTTTGAGTATGAGGAAAAACCAGGCATAAACTTCTTTAAAGGAAGCTGTTGCATTGGATAAAAATAGAAATAGAGAAACCTGGATGTTTTTAAATTTCTTAAGTTTGCAAAACGGATAATTAAAGTCTCAACGGTGTGCATATGAGAATAACAAGGAGGTGAGTTGGGACCAAGAACTGTTTTTCACATTTCTTAATCTACTGATCTTTTGCAAGACGCCATTGGCGTAATCAAGTCAAGTGCTACACTCGGATACAAAGTTCAATCGCTAAACTCCATTGATATCTATCGCGCGATTGTCCCGAGAAAGTCTCATTTTTTTTTGACAAGATTATTGTGCAAACTAATCAACTTACATCTGTTTTTATCATGTTGCTCTCAATAAAGTGTGTTGCAAAAATTAATCGGAATTTCTGAAAAATATTTCGCCCTTTCTTAATTCTGAGAACCAAGGCCCCAACCTGCAAAATAACCTTCAAAAAACACACCCTGAAAAACTCCAAGTCGCTTTCCGAGCGACAGTTTTCGGTACTATCCTCCAATACGCTTGAGATCGGCAAAGGAAAGTCTTCATTAGGTGTTTTGGTTATATACAAGCCCTCAAAGTGTCCTACGCTGAACCCAGCATTTCGTCTACTTAATGTCCGCGTTGTTACATCGAGTTTTCCATTTCTAATTTTAATTTAACAATTATTTACGAATCCTAGGTATTTCTTGTATACAAAATAATATCATATCTTCAGAAATACATCTACGTTACTTATAACTCGATTCGAGGTGTAGTAGTCTTTACCCCAAGACAATTCTTCCTGTTAGAACCTTGCTTCCGTTTACTGTTAAATTTAAATGACGTTAAATATCATACTCTTATATATATTACGGGTAATTTAAATTTTATGAGTTTTTTAAATTTTCTCAACATGGAATCTAAAGACAAAAGAACCAAATAATTTGTAAAACATATTCGAGGTGTAGTAGTCTTTACCCCAAGACAATTCTTCCTGTTAGAACCTTGCTTCCGTTTACTGTTAAATTTAAATGACGTTAAATATCATACTCTTATATATATTACGGGTAATTTAAATTTTATGAGTTTTTTAAATTTTCTCATCATGGAATCTAAAGACAAAAGAACCAAATAATTTGTAAAACATATTCGAGGTGTAGTAGTCTTTACCCCAAGACAATTCTTCCTGTTAGAACCTTGCTTCCGTTTACTGTTAAATTTAAATGACGTTAAATATCATACTCTTATATATATTACGGGTAATTTAAATTTTATTAATTTTTTAAATTATCTCATCATGGAATCTAAAGACAAAAGAACCAAATAATTTGTAAAACATATTCAAAATACTAAAGCTTAAAACAGTTGGTTCATTTATGATTATAGCTGTAACTGAAGGTCAGACAACATTAATTTCTCACTGCCCTTAAAAAAACTTTCAAACCAAACTGCAAAAATAAACCTAACCTAGCAGTAAATAATCATCGATGAATTATCGATCGTTGAAAACCCCAAAATATTTGGCAAACCAAACCAATCTGAGAAAAACAGAATTGATCTTTTTCGTGTTTGCGGCCAGTTGATAAAATCGAACAAAAATGTTCTTCATGAGCAATCTGGAGAAATCACCAAAAACGAATGAATTCACCTTTACATACTTACCCCCCCCACGCCTCTCTTTCCCCCACAGAGGTGAAATAATGAAAACAAAATGGCTTGTTTAGTTGTAAAAGTCAACCCCCTCCCGACCCGTGAGAATAGCGTCAATCCATACACTCATCGCCAGGCCACTTGGCGCGGCAACGCAATAAGTTTCTTGTGGAGTCTTTACGCAAAAAGTAGTCCTTAAAGAAGAGCTTTTGTGTGAATTGGGCGAATCTACGTACACATCTTGAATGGCTTGAAAGTAAACGATTCCTTTAGGCACACGTTGATGTTCATCGGAGTAATAACAAAGGGCACGTTTTTGTCTGTCTAACACAAACCAGCGTTTCTTCCATGACTTGATTATCTTTCCTCCCAGTTTTGACAAGTATCCTTTACACGCGTGCGCTGTGACGCGCACTGATGGACAGTTTTCTAGCACGTGACCGGTTGCAACCAGGTGCTGGACGAGATTGAGATCATTGCTGTCATGGTGTGACGTTCCATTTTTGACCTGTAGTGTTAAGAAGGTTGTAAAAGGTAAAAATTAATTATTTCATCGCTCTATAACTGGAAGTCAGTGAACAAACGTACTTTTTCATATGGTATGGAAATAAATAACCTTTATTCGGACTCAAAAAATAATATCTGATCGGAATTGAGATAAGAGCTCCTCATTGGGAACTCGGAATTTCCATACTAGTAACGAATGCTTTACACCGTTGGATAACTGAAAATCGAGTTTACAAAAAAATTCATTTTTTCACTTTCTCCCGGGCCTGATGAAGAATGTAAGCAACTGTTCTAATATCTAAATCAGTTATCCACCGTTTGCCCCACTCCATCTACCGGGCTTGTTAAGACACTCTAGCTTAACAACACCCCTCCAAAAGGGGTGTTTAAAAGAAGAAGTTTTATTTCAGTTTTTACCTTAGCAGGAAGCCTCTCTTGAATAGCTTTCTCTGTCATCATCTCTTTCCTGGCTCTCTCCGCTGCGGCAACCCTTTCGAGTTCTTCCTGCTTTTGTTTCTCCGATAGAATTCTTTCCATCTCCTGTCTTCTCGAGCGTTCCATTCCAAGAGCTTTTTCAAGCTCTTTCACTTTCTGACCATCGTCTGCGACAACCGTTTTGTTGTTTTTCTCCAGCAGTTCAGCCAATTGTCTCTCGAGTTGAACCCTTCGTTCCTTTTCTCGTTGTAGCTTTTTGGCCGTTTGGTTTTTAGCTCTCTCGTCTCCACTGCTTCCACTATCACTGCTCTCTTGCTGTTTGGCGTGCAGGTTTTCTGCTTCTTTCTTCAACTCAATCAGCCGTCTTTTCTCCTCCTCCAGGCGTTGTTTCCTCTCCTCAAGCGAGCAACCTTTTCCAAGCTGCGATATATCTCGCATGTTTAGCGCAGAAAGAACCAGAGGTGCTTCAGAGCCATTGCATCTGATCTTCTTGTACTCTTTCTCCATGTTCACCAACCGTGACTTTTCCTTCTGCATCTGTTCTCGCTGACTCTTAAGTTCCGCTTGGAGCCGTCGCCTTTCTTCTTCAGCTTGTCGCAATGTCTCCTGCTGTTGCAACTGTAATTCTTGAAGGCGCCTTTGTTCACCTTCAACCTGTTTTCTTTCTTCTTCTCTTTCTTTTTCGAATTGCTGTCGAATTATCTCTCTCTCTCGCTCAAGCTGCTCGGCGGCTTCGCGCTGCTTTTGCTCCAACTCTTCCAACAAAAGTTGTTCAGTTTCGAAGAACTCGAACTCAATTTGCCGTTCGCGTTCCATTTTATCCTGTTTGGAAATCATGGCGTCTTCGATTTCCTTCATGGCCTGAGCATGCTTTTCTTCCAGCTCCACGAGTCGCTTTTTCTCAGATTCGATCATTTGTTTCTCTTGTTCCTGCTCTCGAGCTGCATTTTCTAACAGTTCCATTCTTTCTTCTTCTAATTTGTCCAATCGCTCGCGTTCCTGTTTAAGTCTCGTCTTCTCTTCTTCACGTTCTTGGTCAAGCCGTTGTCGTTCGAGCTCAATCTGTTTCATAGCTTCTTGTTGCTGTTTCTCCAACATCTGAATTCTTTGCTTTTCCTGTTCAATTCTGGAATTCTCCTTTTCTCTTTCTTCTTTCAACATCTTGATTTGGGCATTCAGTTCTTCTTCCAACTGTTTTATTACCACAGATTGTCGTTCCTTCATCTCGTCAAGTTTTTTCCTTTCTTCCTCTATCAGTTCACTATCAAGCTGCTGTCTTTCGTACGTTTGCAGCTCCTCTTCCAAACTGTTCAACTCTTGAAGCGCAAGTTGTTGCCTCAATTCCTCAATAGCGACTCTCTCCTTCTCGGTTCCTTCTTCTCCTTCTAGCTTCGCTTTCATCGTCTTCAAGCGTTCGTACTCTTGCTGCCGTTTCTTTTCCTTGTTTTCCCGTTCGAGCTCTTGCTTCTTTACATTCTCTTCGTACTTTTCTTGTAGCATGGCAAGTTTTTCTTTCTCTTCCTCAAAATGCTGTAGCTCTTCTCGCTGTCTCTCTAGTTCTTTAATTTGAACAGCTATTTCGTCTTCAAAGCTATCAACAGCTTCCTTATGCTGCTCTTCCATTTCTTGAAGCTTTTGCCGTTCTTCTTCAAGTTGGGATTTTTCAAATTCGATTCGCTCCACAGCCTCCTTGTACTCGTTTTCCAGGGACAGCAAACGTTCGTTTTCCTTCTCGAGTCTGTCTCTCTCTTGTTTGTCTCTCTTGTACTGCTCAATGGCGAGTTCCACATCTGGTTAAACAGAAATAAAGGCAAATGACGATTAACGAGACATTATCATCTATACTTATAATTCTTAAAATGCCTTGGAGTTGAGCTCCAGAGATATCTTTTATACGGGTTAAAAAAAAGTTAATAAAAACCATTTCACCAATTTCTACAAATTTTACAAGAAGGAACTGAAATTTGAAGTTTTGGTGTAGGTAGGGACGGCAAAACCGAGAACCTGGCGATAAACTGACCCGGTTGTTCAAGGAGCGGATAAGGCTATCCAACGGATAAATCGTTATCCAGTGGATAAGTGTTACCAAAACGTACTGCGCTACCACCGGATAGAGATTTATCCACTGTATAGCGTTATCCATCCTTCGAACAACCGGGGCCAGAAGTAAGGAAGAGAAATTACAACAAACGCCAGGATTGAGAGTCAAATCTGGCGCTCTCACCACTAAACCATTACATTGCCGTAGAAGCTTCATTGAACCTTCCAGAAGCTGTAAGTTTTTCGTAAAACGGTGACGGAACTGTTTAGATACAGTTTTTGAGGTTTTACAAAACAAGAACAAACCAGGGGGCATTAGTAGAGTAGTCCTCTTGCAAGTTTCCGTCAGAAGGAGAGCTTCGAAATCAGAGAAACTTCGGTGAGTAGGCTCTAATGGCAAAAAGCCCGTGGCGTTTCACGGCGCATGCTATCGATGACCATATTTAGTAGAAGGGAAAGGTTAGGAAGGTCGGCGAACTTAAAAAAAAAGTAACCCTTTGTTCAAGTTTATCGCTATGGGATGACAATCCTCGTCTTTCGTGTACTTACCAGGAAAATACTGATCCGGAACGATAGAGAATCGATTTCCAGGGTTGGATTCCTTGATCCTCTTGGCTTCTCTGGGATGGTTGAACCGAAAGTAATTAGACTTTCCCAGGCAGATCATACAACCTGTGAGACAACACAACGTCATGAATGAGTGTTAGATAGCGTGACACGTGTGACATATGAGCACGCTATGGAGATGATTACGATCACGCAACAGGCGAAAGTTTTACTCATGGCCACTACAGCATTAGCATAATGAAACCAATGTTCAGCGACACATTCGAAACTACGATTATTAGAAAAGAAGAAAAACCAATGCCAGACGGACAATCAAAGACTCTTCTGCAGACAATCTTGACTGAATGACCTTTCGACTCCTTAAGATCATGCGAAGAAGACAATTTAATGTTTACCAGTAAAAGAAATAAACAAAGTAAATAACACAAATGAATGATTTCAAGAGTAACGTAAAAGCTCACGGCTTGTACTTTGACTTCGCAGAAAGTTCAATTTGAAGGACGTTTCAAAGGTGTATTTAGTATGTAAGTAATATGAAAAATGTTCTATTTTCGAGTAACTAACGATTTATTAATATCAACGAAAATATCATCCGTTTGGATTTAAAAATAGCAAAACGATATGAATATGTAACACAATGACCGGATAAAGCAATAATGAGGAAATAGGCACACATTATCATCCGTGGTTCTCTAAGAACGGTTTATACAACAATATCATGTCTGAACGTTGTTCCACGAATGGATGCATCCAAGTCAAAACTACATTAGAACGTTAGTGTAAAAAAATACACAAAATACCTAAAAACATGATTGACTTGCAAAGTGCGAAACGACAAAATGAATGGAAATGTCAAAGATACAAACGAAAACTAAACATTTCCGCTACAAGCAGAGACCTCAATGACGAAGAGTGAATTAAAATTTTAATCATTTAAATCAACTTTTAAACAGGTGATTTCTATGGCTCGACGGCAATTTAGAAGGAAATCGTGTTTAGTAGGTAACAAAACTTTCTGCATAAATACTTATTACGTCAAACGTGGTTTGTTTGGAGGCAGAAGTTTCATTTTCTAATCCCTGAAGTCTCTGGTGAAATTCTCAGTCGATTTATCAAAAGTACATTAAATGAAGTCCAGAAGAGTAAAATTTACAGAGAGGAGCAAAGTTATTTAAATCAGAATAACGCATGAATGCAATAACTGCGGTTTCTAAAGATAATTCAAGTCACGACGTCGTTTCTCATCGAGGGAACTAGCAATAACAAATGCTAATCTCGTCCTATCCCGACTCTTTCCTGATCGATAAAATTAAGCGCGCAAGGAAATAGCTTTAAAATTTAAACAAATAAACTACCAAGGTATGAAAAATTGGCGCGTGCAGAACAGTAATTCAAACTGAGGAGTATTAATTTGGATTACAAACTTACTGTCCAAGCGAGTTTAAAGATGTTAGACAAAGTAGCATGTTGACACGGAAACTCCCTGTTCTGTTTCAAGTTCTTACCGTGTTCTGGCTGACTTGCAGGAGAGCAGAAATAACAAGTGCGTTTGACTGTCTTGTGACTTAATAACACTCGGCTCAAGCTACCGGTAGGGGTAGGGACGGGGGGCAACCAATTGTGTCACCGGCAAGTTCCCGGATAAGAGCCACGTTGAACACAACAAAGAACGAGTTAAGTGAGTCAAGAAAAGGAATTCTTGATGAAGCAGTTTTCAAATAAGTATCGAAAGTGATCCGATATTGTGCGGGTTCTGTTTCACTTCGCTCTGTGATTGCTACATAATCACCTACCATCCAACCAATCAGAAGCAAAACAGAAAAAACCCACTGTAACTTGCTCACTCGTGTTTCCAAGCGCGTCAAGCAGGTTTTTCTTGTTTAGAACGAGTTCTCTCTAAGTCCTCGGGATATTTCCTTTTGTCTTGTTAGTGATTTACAAGAGTAGAACCTCGTCCTAACGATCGTCCTGTTAAATGTTTCCTTTAACAAAACTATATTTTTTCTGGTTTCCCGTTGTTCAATACTAGCATACTTAGCTTTCATCTATTGTCTTTCTTTTTCTACCAGCTTTTATTTCTTTTTCCATTTTTTACCTACTTTTATTTTGTGTTTTATGTGGTGTGCGCGCGTGTGTGGTACCTGACCTTATAATAAATCATTTATTAATAACCTGAGTAAGGCTACCCTATCTCTTTAGCCCTCAATGGTAATTATGCGCAGACTGTACTCTTTCCATTTTTCCAGTAATATTTTGAAAAGTTGTTGTTAAGAGTTACGTTAGCAGTAAGCCTTGATCGACTCAAAAGCTTAGCCACTTCTGTGCTTGCAACCCCTTTATCTGACCACACCCGATATGACCACGTTTTCCATAATCCAATCAGTAGTGGACTTCTGATTTAAAAAATGATCCGCGCCTTTTCTACACGAATACGGCTATCGGGTTCAATATTCAAATAATCAATCCATTATTGCATTCTTGAAACGGTTAGCGGGTTCCATGTTCAAATATTCAAATATTCAATTCATTATTGCGCTCCTGAAACGATCAGTGGGTTCAACATTCAAATAATCAAATCATTAATGCAATCCTGAGGGGTACGCTTCACTTAGTTTGACTATAGTTGTTCAACATTTGCCTGTAAATATTTCCGAGAATTTGATTTTGCATCAAGGAAGTAGCTTGTAGTAGTGTTGGATTTGTACATCTTCATTATCTCTTTGGAATAATGTATTGATTTTTCGAGAGGTTTAAAACATTAATCTCCTCTAGGATTGAGGCAAGCATAACCATTAAACTAACTTTTATACATGCGAAAAAACAGCCTCGCTCCCAGGAGTGGGAAAAACCCGTGCTCGTACGAACAAGGACTGGGCACGAGATTTCTGCTGACAGGCAGTTCTGCATACCTAGATACAGAGAGAGTTATTGTACGCTCTGCCATCTATTACCTGATTTTCAACCCTGACAACATAGAGCTGGGACATAAATAGAAACAAAAATTGTTACCTTGTGGTAGTCTGGTTGGTTCTGAGATGGGAATACCATCCACCGAACACAGATTTCCTTTGGGATAAAGAACCACTGCATCCCCATTGTATTCCACTGTGCAGTGGTCTCTGTCAATGAAAGCGACCTCATGTTACAACAATGATTCTTCTGTTTTTGGCGATTCAATGGCAAGAATAATCCTAAAATTAGATTATTTTGATTTGATTGGTGATTGGTGGAAAAGCAACTCGCGTCACCTAGCTCGTCCAATCAAGTGGGAAGCCAACTTCATTCGAGACTTGGCCACACGCGTCGGTTTTCCCGCGCTTTACACTAATCACCTGTGGTGGTCAGTGGTTGTCTTTTTTTAATTTAAAAATTAAATTACCGACAGCCGTTTTAATCATTCCCGTTCTAAATATACATACGATACTGAGAAGTTAGCCGCTCAGTTCCTCAAGAAAATGCTGTGACAAAATTATCCGAACGTGAAATTACAAAAACACGATTAAGACGTGTTTGAGACTCACGGTTCTATTCCTTTTCCTCTTAGTTGAATGTCGGGTTTGCATGTCTCTGTTGCAACACCGATAACTGTTTTTCCTTTGGAAGAAATGACGGCAAAAAATCAAATAAATTACCAACTCTTACAAGTGGAACGATACTTCTTTCCTTCTACATGCAAAAATGATCCACACTTTTTTCCTCTTCCTGAATGGTTTGGAACACACGCAGATGAAATGCATAGTTACTTACCTCTTTTGATTGGACAGAGTGTCACACCAATACTAAGCCGCCCTCCGCCAAGACTCACAAAGTGAGGTTCATCTGTCTCAAACTTCAGTGCAGAGCCAAGCTCAGTGACAGCAAGGGCTCGCTCCTACACGAGAGAGAGAGAGATGAAAGGTTGATGAATGCACAAACAAGACCAACAAGGACGAGAAGTTACAGAAAGATATTGAAACATTTGCGGCGACTGCAGACTTAAGGAGAATTCTGATTTCCTGGAAGATTTGGAACTGTCAGACCTTCTGATCTTACCGTCGTACGCTCTACAACCAGAGTTACAGACATGTCGTTCACGAGTGGGTCGCATGCTGGATTCACGCTTTGAACACAGCCACCACCGACTCTTGAAAAGAAGTTAGGGTGCGAATCGTTCTTACGTAGTAAAGTATCCAGCAATGTTAAAAAAAAAAAGTGCTGAGAAAAAAAATCATTGACAATACTTGGTCGCAAAATATTTTACCTCATCTGCGCTACCACAAAATTTGAGCTCAAATTTCATCTCCAACCTGACAACCGCAAATTCAGTAGTAGTTTCGCATTCACATGTGATGAAAAAGCCACCTAAAATTTCTAGAGAATCTGGTACACGAACACCGAAAAAGTGTACTTAAAAAATGACCAACAATTGCAAACAAACAATTTCTTAAGAAATTCCCTTGGAAAAAATGAAATCACGACGAGATGGGAAATTCTTGGAAATAACCATAAGCGAAAATTTCACCTGACGAAAATTGCGTGCAGCGAGAAGTATTGTTTGTTCCGAAAAATAGTCAAACATACGCAAAAGTTAATTTCCTTAACGGAAAAGTGACGCCGATTTCTTTTTATGAAGTGTTTTTGTCACTCAATCCAATAAATTTTTGAATTTCGATTTATCTTGTCGAGTATATTTTCCAGCAAATAAGGTGATCGTTGTACAATCATTCTAATTGATAACAATAGATGTTTACCGAAACATGGAATGTTTGCAGGGCACACAGGAAAGGCCAAGCACGTTTGCTCTGTAAGGTTTACAGTGACTAGCGTCAAAAGCTCATCGTAGTAAAAAGGCGCCGCACGCCAATAGGGCTATGAACATCAAATGTGTCACTAATTTCATTCGTGTGCGAACTTCATCTCCAATTCGATCTTATGTAAACACGCAAACACTGGAAATGAGATTTTTAATGTTGTTCAGTTCTTTCCAAACAAGAATGGAAAATAATCTCTTACATAACTGATTTCTTGCTTAGAGAAAGTCGTTCTCTTAAATAAAATTAAATTTAGAAAAGAAATGCTCAGAAATAAAGAGTAACACTCCCAATAATTAGCATAACTCACTGGCTCCTGTTGAGGGGTCGGCAAATCTCATTGGCTAAGTAGGCAACTCTGTCTATCGATAAAAGGCCATTACTGTGCACATCACCTTGTGACTACATACACAGCACTATCGCTAATTATCGTTTCGTTTTCCCTTTCAAAAAATCGACCAAAGGGTCATGCTGTCTATAACAAATTAAGACGGCTAAAATTCCGGTATCTATTGATAGCTCACTAGATAGAACCCACTCAATTTTCCATATTCCCCTCTTTACACTCAGTTGGCAACGACGGATCTTCTTCCGTTCCCCCTGAAGCCATGTAACCACCCCCCAAAAAATCCCCCACCCCTCCCCCCAGGCAATAAATCATAACTGGATCCATAGCCACGTAAAAATATCTAATCTTGCCATAAAATGCATGTTAAAGCTTGGTAAAAAAAAAAAAAAAAAAAATTAAACTTAGTCCTTCATTTCAAAGACTGAGTCTTTCTTTCCCATGTTGGAAACTGTCTTAAAACTGAAGATCTACCACGGTATTTGCAACGTGAAAGGTAAAAAAGTCATATTCCATATTAGCGCTTTCGGTTCAACGTAACTGACAAAGCAGGTGAAAAAGTTGACTAATCTTGCAATATAAAGATTTCTCTTTCTATCAGTAGAAGCGTCATACTATTGTAAAGTATTTACATGGCGGGAAATGGAAAGAGATCAGAAATAAAGTAATATGATAAATCCTATCTAGAGAATGGAAAAATTATTCAAATGAAAGCGGTAGGCAACTTAGACAGCGCGAGATGTTTGGCGCGCAAATTAATAAAAAAAATAAAACTGAGTCAAAACTGTATTAAAATCCAGGCGAGAAGTGTCTTGAAGGCGAAAATTTGGCAAGCAAATTAGACGGCTCAAGGGAACTTATCACTTGGATTAATGACTCATAATGAAATCAAGAACTCAGAAGTGTTGTTTTTGTAATTTCGGACCTTTTCTAAACTTGTTTAATAAAAGCCAAACACGAGCTTAAAAATATATTTCTAAGCTTCAAATCCGTAATCGTCATTCGAGAAAAAACTCAACACTTGAATATTTTGTTTTATCTGCTTTCGAATTTACATTACGTGCTATGGAAAAGAGTATTTGCGAGTTTTGTACTTGTAAGTAATAACGAGAACATCTGCGATCTGTTAATGACGAACAATTGCACGTCCGAAAAAATCTGACACACTTCTTGGCGATCCAATTCGAGTTTAGTACCGATCTAACCGGAGAAAAATTGATTTTTGGTTGAAAGAAGTACAAAACACCGCCCGAAATTGGCGGCTAAAGAATTCCAAACAGTAAACATATTCCGATGTGGTAAGGAAAATATATTTAGAAACGGTAACCAATATATCAATAAAAGGCCATTAGGGTGAAAAGTTGTTGTGTAGTCTAAAAGCTACTTAGCGGTAAAAATGGTAGGTTAAACCAACAGGGGCCTTCAAAACCAGTCGCTTTTCCTTTTTACGGTTTAACGTGTCAGGAAACATAATGATGTATTTGAACCCAGGAGGCAACGTGAGAATTTTTAAGTTTTAAACAGAAGGACGGCACTCGTCTTTAATCCAACGACTCAAAAGAGCAATTCAAACCAACGCTTAAAAGCAACGTCCATGAAAGTTCCATAAGAGCGCGGTCTCTAGTTATTAAACTGAAAATTTTTAGGAGGGTTTAATAACTCATAGTCAAAGACCAAGTTCGACCTTCTTTTATACCGCGATTACGCAACTTAACTTCGAGAACGCCATTTGAACAAACTTTTTACTCTGAACAACAAAATGTTCTGAATACTTCTAGAAAATACTTGCACCGAGAAAAGCACAAATTCTAAATAAAAATCACTATTTTTAGCATAGATTTTTTCCATTAGCTCTTCATGGCTAAAAAGCAAATGTAAAAATTCACAGCCTGAGGCACTCGCTACATTCACCAATAAAAATTATGTCTGCTCGGTTGAGAAACAAGAAGAAAAAATAAAAACGCCCTATTTGATAAGATAATAGTTCTGCGTACGTGATGTGGAGTACCTTCTTATTTCTTTTTTCTTCTTTTTTTTTTTGCCAGTTGATTCGTTCAATTCGTAATATTTTCCGTATTATGAACCTCAAGTGCTCTACAACTCTTGCTCTGTTTGCCAATGACATCCCGCTCTCGCGCTATTAACCGGTTTTCAAAGCATTTAAAATATGAATGCACGCAAAAAGCGATTTAAGGAGCGACTAAATGGTTAACTACCGATGTTGGTACAGAAGCACGACTTGTGGAAATAGAGCACATCGCGGACTACGTGATGGTTACCTCAATAAGTTTTTGAGTCTTGCTCCACTTGTCCTCCCAAATGCCTGTTAGTCGCTTCATGAGATCTTCATTTTCTTGCAGTTTTTTCTCCGCCTTATCAACTCCCAAAGAACTAGGTACGGTGCCACTCTGAAACGCAAAAAGACATTCCACATTTCGGTCCATAAGAACAGTTATTTCCCTGAACATGAAAAATATATCACACTTCGCGAGCGAAGATTACTTTTTCGTTCTCTACCAGAAATAAAGGAGAGAAAAAAATGTATTTTACAGTTGTACCTGCTGAAATACTGCACTGGCTAAAATACGAACAATCCTCATTCTTCTGGCCGAAATTTGACCAAAGGGGTCGATTTCGCTCCTTTTGATTAACGGGTGGCAAACGATGTGGTTTCGTTGCTACAAGGCTTAATGAGGGGTCCAACCGCTAACGCCTTCTTTATATATTTGAACTAAGTCTTGAAATTAAGGCTAGCTCAAAATGACAATATCACAAATTAACCACGTGACCAACCTAGGGTCTCAATTTCTCCGCCAACACGTCCGAGAGCCGACAATTAAAGAAGAGAAAACAAACCTACATACCATAGAAGGTAATTGTCTGCGACAGCACGCACGCCAAAGATTATTTACTTGCTCTAGAGTTGAGTTTAAGTGGAACCGGCATAGGGCGAAATGGTAAACAAACTAAATTGTGCAGTCAGGTCAAAACAATATTCAATAAAAATCCTATATTCGTTTTGCGACAATAAAAAGAGAGAGATTGAGAAAGTCTTTGAAAAGGAAGAGCAAGAAATTTCCGAACTGCGACAGAATCAACAGGAAAGATGTGTATTAGTCACTTTACCTTGTCGGGTTGCGGAGTGTACAATCGATATAAGCAGTTCGCAACGAAAGATTTCACCCTTCCTCTTGCCTCGCTACCTCGCATGGTCGATAGTTTCGCTTGGGATTCAAGAGTTTCCGAACTTTTTCGAAGCAATACACTCGCGACAGTGAATATGTCGTGTTGCGGTGCTTTTGTCGAGATGGTGAAAAAAATAAGCCGAAGCCTTATCGACAGACCACCTGCCCTCTTGGCAAGCAGCTGGTTACAAAATGTTCTTTCGTATAAAACACTCCAAATCAATCGTGTCAACGAAAAACGGACAATAAAACTTCACCAACAGATAGAGTTGAAAAGAACGCTGCGAGAACCGGCGTAGTTTGAAAAAATACAGCAAGCGCAATTCATGGCGCTTCTGTTGTTACGCCTCCGCTAGACTGGATGAAAAATAACTCTTTCCTTCTTTTGTTCAGCCCTGTTCAAAACAGTTCCTTCGTATCTGGTTCCATGAAAGAGTGGGGTCAATTTGATTCCGCAGTAACCTATTGTTCGTGAATTATCAACGAAAATCTCTAAAAAGCTTTCTTCCATTCGACCTCAACTGTTGAAACTCAACAGGAAACTATTACATTGAACCCGTCAAGAAACATCATTGGTAACAGCATGTTCTCTCGTAACGAACCGATTCAAACCGCTCTTCAGACAATAATTTTTGATTTGTACATTTTACAATAGAACCAAAGTTGTCCTCAGCGAGGGCGTGAAGTTTGATTAATTTCATAAAATAAATTGTCAAAATTTTGAATATTTCGGTCTTGAACAACAATAGTATTTCATTTTTCATGAAAATAACACGTTTTTAGCGCTACATAATTACCGCCTTGAAATCGGATGCGGCTTATTACCATACAAATACTAGCAAATCTTCCTTTGATCGAAAATATTCTATTGCAGAAGGATTGCCTTACTATGCTGAAAAATTCACATGAATAAAGCTATGAAAAGAGTTCCATTTAGGTTAAAAACCATTCTGAATCGAAGCCATTATCAAATTAAGAAAAACAGAGATACAATCACGAAAACATTCCCTCTTGTACTGAAAGTGAATCTGGAAACAATTTATCACTGCGTGAATTTGATGACGACCTACCTTCAATCTTGTCTTCAGAGTCTGTATTTCAAACTGGAGTTCTTTAATCAATTTCACATTCGCATCCTGAAATCACAAACAACCAAAACGTTCTAATAGGAACTCAGGCTACAAAATACCGATTTGGCAGAATACCACTACACGTTAAACCCGACAAAAAATACAAAACGTTTTACTAACGGCTAATTGTTATTCAGTAATTCTTTAGTCAGTTGCAACATTAGGAAACCAGCCATTATTTATTATATGGGGGGAGGTCGGGGGATTTTGGCTATGTCACGATAAAATTAACCTGATTCCCCCATAAGGCTCAATAGTATTCTAATGACCCTCCCCCTTCACTGAGAGTCAATTTTCTATAGTCCCTTTCATACCCTGTTAGGTACGACTGATCCCACTCTTTCCTCCCTGGAAACCATGTGATCCCCAAAATCCCCCGGCTATCCCCCCCTGAGGCGTCAAAGAATGACTGATCCTTTAGATCATACGACACCTGCCTACAGTGCTCCACATCACCCGGAAAAAAAAAACAACAACAACAACAACGAAAAAATACAAGCACGTTGACAAGGAAAAAAAACATTCATGTCGTTGATCAAGAAAAAAAGAACAGATTTTCAGAAAAAGAGGCGAAACCCGAAACTATTTTCCGGTGGAGGTATTAAGAATTGTAAAATCCTCTTTTTGTATTATGCAGCATTCTAACAAACTGTGTAACTGCTAGTCAGCAACAACTGTGTGACTAAAAGAAAGAGAGAAGACCTGGAAACGAGATTGACAAAACTCCTAAGACAACCTCGTTCTTGGAGCCGCTTCGGGCGCACTAAAAGAGAGCAATGCAAGCTGGGAAAGAGGTTGATTTCCAGAAATTAAAAACTTTTCTTATATTATCTTTTTCGGTTCCACTCAAAGTATTAAGCGAGGAAGAGATGTGACTTATGAAAAAAAGATCACAAGTTTAACGAAAAGGTCGAAGAATGGTAAAAAAGACGAATGAAAAAAAAAAAAACAAAAGATAACATGAATTACTGGGTTTTTAAAGTAATGGGTTCAGAGTTAACTCTGATACAGACGAACAAATATTTACATGCTCGGCGGAATGAATGAAGGGGGGAAGTTCTCTCCAAGAAAACTTCCTGAATTGCTCCCCTTAGGCTCGTGGTAAACTTCCCTTGTGTTCTCCTCCGCCCAACATCCCGCCTTGGTAAAAACCTAGGCATTTCTCGTTGCCATGTTCCCACCAATAACGGAGCTCCATTTTCTGCCTTTAAAAACACACACAACCCACAATTCCTCTATTCGCTCCGACGAAGGGCTAACGCTCGAAACGTCAGCTTTTGCAATCGTTACGGTGGCCAATTTACCATTTCAACTTTGTTGATATATCCAAATTATTTCGTTACTCCCACCGACGCAGCCCCAAACAGTTTCTTTCGAAACTATCAGCCTTTATTCACAGGTAAATACCGCTGCGGTAATCCGGAAGAAAGTGTTTTCTTTGTTTAAACATTATTTATGTGAATGTACAGACTGTCAATCAAAAAGAAACTCTCACCTCGTTCACTTTTGGTGCGTTCATGATATTCTTGGCCTGGTTGGCAAATCTCAAGGTATTAAGAGTCTCATTGTGGGACGAAGCTGCGGGAGAAACCGCTGCTAGCATGACAGTCTGGCAATTTCCCCCAAAACAGTCTTTTAAAATCCATGTCAGAGCCTGTAACAGCGAGTATCAATTTTTTTAAACAGACATCAATGTTGTATTGATAACAGGTAGGGTATGAGCGAAATGCCTGGCTGCTAAGATTATTTACCAAGCTGGAAACAGTGTTTCTGTCGGTACGAAAATTTTCAGCTACATTCATGTAACACTTTTCGCTTATTTTGATTCAATTCAACATACGGTGATGGTAATCCATAAATAGTATTCAGTATTGTGCCACAACAAGAACACTAACTTACTTGAATACCACCTCTTTGTTTTGGCCTAATAGAATACGTACGTTCACTTTCTCTACTTTTGAGGTTATGTTTACTGATTGGGCAGGTGCGATGACAGAGAGATTAGCTGTTGGGATACTGGATTGAAAGCCCCTTGTTCAAGCCATGGCTGAGTCACCATGTTCTGTGGGCTTGAGCAAGACAATGTTCTCTCACACTGCCCTTCACCACCGCTCAGGAGTATACATGGGTACCAAAAAACGGTCAGGGGGGGCAACCTCCAAAAGCCCAGCATCCTCTTCAAGAGGGGTTGAAAATTTTCTTTGTTGCTTCATGCTACAGAAACAGGGGGGAAATTTAACCCTTTTTAACTAGCTCTTGTGATGTTTACTTCTGAATGGATAGAAGTATTGTAAGAGGACTTTCCAAAAATAAAAGAAACCCAGCTTGCTGGCAAGGGTCAACCTAACCACAGCCCTCTTTGTGTGCAGAGGCTTGCTTCATGCAAACTCATGTACTCACAGAATCCTTGTATGGGACGGTAGCACTGTTAGAAGACTCGGAGTCTTGGCATGCCAATGATGATATGACTCTTTCCAGCGTCATCAGAGACTTGTCCGCATCAGCAGCAGTAAAACAGTTATCAGCACACTGTGAAAGACAAGAAAAATACATTGCTCAGCAAACAATACTGAATCAAGATGTTTGACAAGCATTACATTAGTATCCCAACAACGACAGTTAATAATATGCAGTGAATGAAAAAATTCATAATTCTAATCGATCCATGCAATACTTAGTGAGCATTAAAAATTTCCAGTGCACATGTTTTCTAATATTTTTTGTACCTATCTTACAACCTAAGTATTGCCTTTTTTACAACTAGATAAGGCTAAAACTGTCAGTGTTTGACACCTGTGAAGTGGAGGTTCCATTCAAGACACAAGAAATTCAATAAGCCCACTAATCCAAGAAAACTTGGTCACAAGTATCTTCAAGTCAACTTACGTCAATTTTCTTTCTTTTCTATTTTTAGGTAAACCTTGCAATCATAATTTACTTATTTCAGACCTGTTTTTAGGATTGGCTTTTATCTACAGTAGACATAAAAATAATTTCAAGTATGTGTGTTAAATGAGGCCTGTTTCACTCATGTTCACAATGAACTTTTGGAAAGTCGCAATAAAGAAATCAAACAAACTTTGTGGGAAAAATGGAAATTAAGTTATTACATAACATATCATATAAAGCACTATTTTAAAAGAGTAAAGTTCATACCTCATCATGTATGCTCTTACTGCCAGCTAAGTCAACAAGTTGAATCACACTGACCATTTCACAGGGCAAGCCATCTTCTAAACGAGCCTAAAATGTATTAAAACATGATCTCAATAAATCTAAAATAAACAAACCTTGGACCTTATTCTTGTAGTCATATTGAATGCAAGTCTAGAATAGCTAGTTTCTGATCATAAAGCCCAGGTTCTGGACAACAAACAGGATAAAATCTAATCTGATTGTCATCCAGTTCATGGTTCATATTTTTGCCCTTGCAATGATAGAAAATTACCATTTTACAGCTAAGGAAATCCATCAAATATGATTGAAACTAATTTCTGTTCAATATTCAACCCTTAGAGTGTATGATGGTAATATGACCAAGAGTGATGGTTCTTACCCATGGCAACAAATAAAATTAATTACCTGTGTAAACCTCAAGGTGAAAATTGTATGCGAACTACTGGTAAAGGAGTTGGAAGACCTTGAACATATTGACCTACAAAGAGCAAAAACAAAAAATGATGAAATATCATAGGAATTGTGTCACAAGCTGGTTATCTTGAGAATTCTAGAAGCAGAACATTACTTAAAACTGTATATTTGTCATTTAAAAACTGGGTTTCTCTTTGCCATTCACATTACTGTTTGATTTACTATTATTGCTCTCTTTCCTCTTTGCCTTTGAAGGCAGAAATTTAAAGGTTTTATTCAGTATGAAGGCTGATTTTCTTTGACGCTCTCAATGAGTGAAAGTATTGCAATGAAGTTCTTTTAATCAGTCCTTAAGTTCATCCTTTAGCTTATCTTGCAACCTCATTCACTCTCTATCTCAATTAAGACCAACAGTATAGTCATTCACATGGTTGATTAATCAGTAAAAGCAAATAAATTCAGATATGCTAAGTACTCTTTTTCTTTGAGATATGACAAACAGTTCATTGGTTACAAATATTTTCATGACTTCAGGTGAACTTGACCGCATATTTAAAGATATTAAAACCATCCTTACAGCAATTAGGGATATTGACCACTTCATTCCCACAGAGCTAATATCATTATTTGTAAATAACAACATTACTCAAAAGTTTGATATGAGTCAAAACAGATTTTAATATTACAACACCTACATCAAGCCACCATTATAAATTCATTGCCCTTTTTTCTTAACACATACTTGTAAGATGAATTGTATTAGCACAATGCTCAATGTAAAACTACATTGGGAATTTTGTAGCACTCAACTGATGAGAACACAACATTTCAGGAAATAACGCATTGAGTACATGATGTAATAGAAAATATTGCTACGGGATATTGCCTCACCTATTTTTCTTTCCTTTATCAATCAACCCCAGTGCTTCATTAACATCTGTAACTATGTGTTTAGTCAACTTGTCCACATAAACTCCCAGTTCACGATGTTCTCGCACTGCAAAAGCAAGTTAGAAATGAAGCATGAACAAATGTGGAGACTTTAATGGAAAAGCAAGTGCAGTTCTAAAGTACATCAAACAATATCTAAAGAGTAGTGGAATAATTTGTGGTTGGAATGACCCTTGGTTTCCTTGCTACCGAGAAGTTCATCTAATACCCTTTGGAATTTTCAAGACAACTCTCATGCATAATGAAAAATAGCATCATACCAGCCACAAAATATTTTTCACAAGCATTTGACAATTTTTTATTGTGTTTTTACATTTCGAAATAACTGACTTTTTCAGGTACTCCAAGTAAACACAAGTAAGAAATCACTAGAAATAAAACATCCCTATGGAGAATAAGAAAGAAATAATCTTTATATATTCATAAGTGTGAATTTTTAACTCTAGGGTAGGTCATGTTGACTTGGGTAATGAATCTCTTTTTTTTAAGCTTCCCCCTTTTTTCAGGTTTGAAAATTCAACTTCACTAGGGTCACTGAAGTGGAAAAGTATTTTTCTTGTTGTAAATCGTATCCTTATTTTGTCTCTCATAGAGCAATCACTTTTTACCCCATGATGTAAATTTGTTGGCCTTGCATACCTCTCAAGGAGTCTTGCCAGTTTCTTCTTCTCCCTAACAAATCCTTCACAAATTCTTTGTGTATTTCAAGAAAACTGAAACGATAGTTCAAGTGTAAGTTACCAGCAAAACCAGAAGCATAAAAGTGTGTAGAAACATGTTTTAATCCTTCCACTCCCAGGATCTTCTCCTTACTGTCTGCTATACAATTCTTAGGATGTTAGTTTGGAGAATTTGGTATTAGATCAACTTATTATCTCCTCATTGATATTTTTGTTTGTTCTCATCAATTGTCTACTTGATATTGCATACTAGATATTGTACAGAGAAATTCTGTCTTGGACCCCCACGGAGTTAGAGGGATAAAAGTCATTATCATAGGTATCATTTACTTTTAATTGGTACAAAATGCATGTACTCCTTGCTAATTAACTGCACAGGAAAGGTTTTGTGATGAATAGTTTTTCTATTAAAAAGTCTTGACACTAACTATAAACAGTAAAAGAATTGGATAAAATGTTATGAATGAAATGATTTACTTCTGACTGGTAACTTGCCAATCCTGAAATGAAGAAATTTACCATTGCATACCACATCAAATTCATGAACCTTGATGGATAATAATTTACAGGATTACTACTTTCTAGATAAATGAAATTCTTTATGAACACACCTTACTTCCGCCCTGAATGATGTGTCATCTTTGTAATCTGAAGCTTTCTTGAAGAGACTTTGGCAAATCCAAGGAGTAAGGCCTTGAACTTTATCAGAGCCATACATGATGAAACTTTTACCACTACCACATGCTCCATAGCTGAACACACAAGTGTTATAGCCATTAAAACAGGATGAGAGAAGAAACTCGCCAACATCTTCCAAAATCTAAGATATCAACAAACTTGTGTTAGCATTAGGTTCATGTCTGCACTTTCATTTTGAGCACATTATTTCATCTTTGGGATTCAGCAGGATAGTGCAGATATGAGATTTAAATTTATTTTCTCAGGAGGTTGATCTTGCTTCCAACATGTCAGCGGTGTGTTGGCCGACTCTTTGGTAGTGTTGCTAGTGTGTCACACTGATAGCGTGTTGGTGGTGTGTCGGCCCACACATTGGCTGACATGTTGGTAGGATCAGATTCTTTACCCTAACTCTTACATCAGTATATACTTATTCTCCATGCTGTTCTCTCTACATTTCCTTTGCTATTGGTACAGGTAATACATACATACATACGTTAGTTGACCACTCCCCATGGGGGCTTTTCAGGGCCAATTCCCACCCATCCCACCCCAGGTGAGGACATCCACTACACAGTAATCTCATGCGTGGGAAATTAACTTCTCCTACCCCTAACCCTGCAGGAGACGTGGCCTACGGTTTAATCATCCTTATCCAAAAAGACTAGAATATCTATCCATTTTTTGATTATAGAAAAGTAGCAAATTCTCCTCACTTATTTTAAGACCATGAGTGTCGGTCTGGCCGGGGCTCGAACTCTCAACCTCCCGCACAACACAATGTGGTGCTCTAACCAATAGTATAACTTGTCTTGGTATTTGGCAATAACACTGCAAGTGATATTTCAAAATACCACGAACAGGTTATGCTATTATTTGTTCATAATACACCGAATGCAAATATGGCGTCCAATTTGAATTGCCATTGTTCTGCATGGACCAACTAGCCTCATCTTCACGTGGAAACACAAAAGGATTATTACATGTGTGAGAGGCTAGTCAGTCCAGAACAATGGCAATTCAAATTGGATGCCATATTTGCATTAAGTGTATAGAAGCCCAGAGTTTTCAGTAATGCACAAGAGACTTCTATTTCATTATGGTTGAAAAAAAAATACAGGTGTCACATTTCAAATATCTTTCCTTTTCTTTTCCTTTCTTTCCTCACCGCGCTGTCATGGTAACCTTGTTATACCATCCATTCTGCCAAATAATCACTATTACACTGAAATAGTGATATTGTCAACCAATCAAATCTCTGAAATTTCTCAGCTTACATTACGAAGGAGAATTTCTTAAAAATAAACCTTCTTGTCCCTTACTGTTTCATTAACTTTAATTTTATATTTCCTCTCACTTTGTTAAGTGCCTAGATCTATCATTGGATAGGCACTGTATAAATCTGTATTATTATTATTATTATTATTATTATTATTATTATTATTATTATTCAATAGTGATAATGTATGGAGAAATTAGATGCTGGCCACTCTTTAGGCTTAAAGGTTCAAGAGATCAGAACTTCAAAACCTGACATTACTTGTTGGTTGGGATTGATCTTTGATGTTAATTTATGATTCTTGTCCTTACTCCGAGAGTTTTTCTTTTGCTTCATCATTCTCCCTCCTTTTATAGAAAACACTAAAAAACTGCAATCCAACCAGAAAACAGTGGACAAAGAGTCATCTCAAGGATGAGCCAAGGCAGAAACAAGTTTGCTGTAAGCTGTAAAGTAACTCCTTGTCCATTTTCTCTTACATGAATTGGAATTTGAGTTGTTTTTTTTTTTGTCATGGTAGGAAAAATTGCAAACCCAGAGGAGGAGTTCTGACACAGATTATGCAACAATAACCACAACTGACAAATAACGCCAGGCTTGGAAATCCATTCCTCTACCATAACAAAAGGAAGCAGACACTGGTTTTATCAACTCAGTTAGGTGGTACAGTTGGCAAATCAACTGTCTGCGATTACTATTAGAAATGAAAGGAATCCATGAATACTTCAGGAAAGATAATACCAAATGAAAAGCTAGAGATGAAATGAAAATAAAGCAAAGATAAATCCACAGTTTGCAGTGTAAAATAATTCATCTGTCTGGAGATTAGAGAGCATTCAGGACCCCCAATTACCTGTTTATTATGACTTCAGATTATCATTTATGACTGACTCAAGACTTAGAAAATATGTCTAATCCAGAAAAAAATGTTGATACTGCAATAGATTTTTTGTCTATAACTAATGTTACTCATGCATCAAATCATGCAGACTGAAGGTCAACAAATGCTGGTGTATCAGGGCTGTGGTCTTATAACAGCACCCACTGGCCCCTGGAACCTTACTTTTGCTCCTGGGAAACTCAGGAATCTTAGTTTTTTCATAAAGAGCATATGTTGGGCACCCTGAATTTCAAAGTTTCAGAGCACTGGGCTCCCTTCAATTTTTCTCACAACGCAGCCTTGTGTATCATAAATAGCCTACAGACCCATTTTAGATTGACTCCTGAGTACTCTAGGTATAGCTTTGTCAATTGGATTTTCAGTAATAGGCTTAAAGTTTAATGAAAATTTGTCAATGGTCCGCCAACTGCCAGCTGACAATTGGATGATCATTATCTGATTGTGATGAATAAAAGCGGTTGACAGTTGGCAGGCATCTTGACTTGGAACATCAGCAATCAAATGGTTAAACATCAGTTGAGTTTCAGTCAGTGATGGGCCAACTATTGACCCACAAATTGATTGCTTATTATTCACACTATTGCCTATGGCAAACTACATATTGTAGAAGATTCATCACATAATTATATGTAAATGAGCATGATTTGGAAGAAAAATTAATTGCAAGTGATTTTCATTTCCTCGTGGGTAGAAATTTTAGTTGGGATGCGCAAACATTTTCACTGATGTGGGAAGTGTTTCAATAGTTACAAAAGGATTTTTTTTTTATGTGGTCTTCATCTATAGCTGGAGAATCAAAAAATATCACTGAATGTGTCAATGTAATTACAATTGCCAACGTGTGAGTTTTTGCAGCCTTGACTTCTCCCTTTTGACAGAGAGGAAGTAACTGAATAGTACAATTAAAAGCTGTCATAAAATGAGTCTCGGCAAATAGAGCGCTCAATATCTATGCAAATTTGCATATTCTCGAAAGGTGTCGAGGACTCATAATTAACTTCTGAAACAAAAGGTAAACACTCTTGTTTGTGTTATAAAAAAAAAAAGATGGCTGAACGTGTATTCTGCTAGAGAAGACTTGACACGAACACTTCGGCGTGTCAAAAAGTAATAAGATAACAGTAAATGCAGTAATAGCGTCGTGTTTTTGGCGATTTCTCGTACATAAAAATATTTCGTGGAGTTGATAAAGTGTTCGAAAACTTGCCCACCTCATCTGTGGAATAGGATAAACAAAAAACTTTCCTCATCCGGCCCGAAAACATCTCTCATTTCGTTGCAAAACTCTCTTTTCCGGTCGCACCTTAATTACCATGCAAACTTAAATGAAGAAAAATGAAGCGTAGAGTAAATATATTTACTTCAAGAATTAACCACTTTAGTTCGCAGACGAATAATCATTCACGGATTACTGCACAACGATAAGATCAACTTTTACAGCCGTTTGATTCTGTTTGCCCTCCAGGGTAAATAGCTCAAGAGATCGATAAATTTATTTATAGAACCAAACCACAATAAAAACCGAGAAAATACAACGAAAGCAAAATCTTTCCCCGATTGAGCGTGATGTTTTTGTATTGTCTACATTGAAGGAACTCAAGATTTAATATCAAAAAGCTTAAAAAAATTAATTTTAATCTCACCTTCTCCTGTGGTTCGGTATGCTCTGTCGGCGAATTACAAAACTACAGAAGGCAAGATTACCATTGAATAATTAGTCGATAAAATTACCAATCTGGTTAATGGCTCGAAAAGCAAGCTAAAATAATCCAAAACTAAAGCTTTTATTTAAAATGATAACAGTAGCTTTCACAGCAAGCGATCAACATACGAGGCGACCATCCAATATCCAACTTGTACGAGGAACGCAGGTGACACGGTTGTGACAAAATGTAATAAACGAAATTGGACTATCTGTAACTCACCGTATGATCAAATTTAAACAGTTTCTCTTTGCCACTATCTGGATTTAGCACCCGAATTTCATCGTCTTGTGTCCATACCACACATTCGTCGCCATTTTCCTGTTCGCTCTCTCTTAACGGTCTCACTGCGACAGCGACACGGACATTCGATTTAGACGCCATTACTACGCTCGAATTCTCGCGCCAAAAATGGTGTCAAACCGCGTTTTTGAACAGTTATTCGTACCAATGCAGAATGTAAAATCACTTCGCTGCGTACACACAACAACTTCGTGGATTGCACGATCCGTCCTGCCTAAAATGCCTTTCAGATTACTTGGCAAATCCTACTGTTGGGCAGTGTGGGCCCCGGCCGGAAAGGAATTCGAACATTGCTTAAGTCGGCTGTTCAGAGGGATCGCTACCACGCGAACAACTTCCGCCCGGATATGACGTTTTGAATGGGTGTACAGAATACATCACTCTCACAAAACTCACCCCAGGGTTCCGACCTGGAGGTTGCACGCTCTGCTCGCGGCCGAATCTCCCGGCCATGATCATGAAACGACCACGAAGGCATGCGCAAGAACCCCTTTCCGCTATCGATTAACGCACTTTCGGCCATCTCCGCTTTTTCTCCATTCAGACTAGATAAATGATTAACTAAATAAATGAATTCTGCAATGAGGAAGGTCAAATTTTTTTATTTCGACCTCTGAGCTAAAATATTAACCTCATTATTTGCTAATAAATATTTCTCTTAATACATCATTTCTTAACATAAAGGATCGACTAATTGAAATCTCAACTACTCCGAGGTGGTGGGAGGGGGGCTCAAAAGATGCTATTTTTTTATTCCCCTCCCCGATCCCCCCTGTCAGTGACCGCTTTTAAGAGTTGAGCTTGCAAGCCATCAGTCAGGAAGAGGTCGAAGTCCTTAAGAGAAGTTTAGAATCCATACAACTCGACTCTCATCGCAATACATGAGGACCAACTTGCTGGTCGAATTTCAATCCAATCGGCAAGCAGAGGATTTGTGAACTGGTTTGTAACTACCGTATCCATGTCAAAGTTTGCCAGGTGCTCCTGTGAAAACAACGGGGTAAAAAGACGTTTCTTTCGGCACTACGGACAATTTTACAGCATAGATATGGAGGAATTGAAGTATAACTTAACATACCACATATGAACAGAGAATTTTAAATGCAAATTATAGTTTTACTTTTACCTTGACCAAAGATCCTACAGCATTTAGAACACCATATCTGATAAAGTAACTTTTCACCCAACAGCCATCGTTTGGGGCCCCTTGTGTTGCTATGGCAATTATTTTGACCCAGTGTTTAAACTTTACAGTAATAGTCTCAGTATTACGGTTGTTTCGTGGCATCCAACAAGAGGGTCTGTTCAGACGACCTTTTCGCGCTTCGTAACCCGGTTTTGATGATGTAGCAACGATATCTGTGTCTGGGATAATTCCACTCTCCATACCCAATGACTCAAGACTTTATAAAAAACAAAAAAACAAAAAACAAAAACAAAAAAACAAAAAAACAAAAAATCCTCAACGAATCGTTACAAAAAGAAAATTATGTTAGTGATTCTATAATATCGTTATTAAGGGGATATCACGCAAAATAATTTGCCTGTCTACCCTTTAATAACAGAAAGCGTTTCGCCAGGAGTCGAAGCAGATAACTTGAGAGGGAGTGCAGTGGGTATAAAGACCGTTGTGAGAACTGAGGAACTTATGCTGAGCTAGCGCAATATCAACGGTTGGTTTTCTTGCTTTTAATCGCCGCTGGAAAGGCACCAAAAGAGCGGATTACCCTGTGCAAACCACCCCAATTGCGCTTGGGAACCTCTCCCTGGAACCTGGAACCTACACTCTCTGTTTCAGGTCGTACTCGCCTTGGTTCAGTTTAGTACTATTTGGTAACTACGTACATTTATTTTTATTTATTTACTTAGCTTCCACCCTTAAAACATACAAATAACATAGATATAATAAAATAATATGATGAGATAATAACGATGATAACAAAAAGGGGGTGAGGAACGACACAACAGAGCGAGGCTCCAAATTAAGTGCGCCCAAAAAAAAACAAAAAAAAAATTAAAAATAGATGAAATATCGAATTACAAAACAACATTAATATAGAAACTCTCT